ATGTTTGTGTCTTGTGGATCGGGTTTGTGAATAAGACACGTAATTTCAAATGTCTACCTTAAATTATTTGTGCAGGAGTCGGTAAAGAAATTTTAGGCGTGCCTGTTTTGCTCGTACTTCTAGTGTAGGAAGTTCAGAAAAAGTTAGCAGACTAGCGGGCGAGTGTTCACGTTTATATTTGTTGTGGATTAATATTGTGGCTTCCCTCTGTACCGCTTCAATTTTCTTTATGCTTGTGCGGGTGTGAGGAAACCACACTGTACTTCTGTATTCGAGGTAGGCCTTACCAATGTTTGGTAGGCTGGGAGTTTTGTTGGCAATGTTGCCATTTTAAGTGATCTGCGAAGAAAAAATAATTTTTGCATGGCAGATGAAGTAATGTTTCTAATGTGCTCGTCCCACCTTAAGTCGGACGTAATTGTTAAGCCTAGGTAATTATGTTTGTGTATTCTGCTCAGAGCAGTGCCATTTATACTGTAGCAAAAGTTTTATGGCTCTCTCTTCCTCGTTATCGTCATGCAAGCTGATGTTTTTACATTGATTGTCATCTGCCAGTTTGAACACCATTGAGAAATAGCAGAGAGTGATTTGTTTAGCGAATAGCGATCTTGGTGATTTCTAATTTCTCTATAGATGATACGGTCATCCGCGAATAACTTTATTTTAGAGTCGATATTAGTAGATATGTCATTGGTGTACACGAGAAATAACAAGGGCCCGAGCACGGAACCCTGGGGCCCTCTTGACGTAACCAGTACAATATTTGAAGCAATCTTTTCGACAACAACAAACTGAGACCTATTAGACAAAAACTCACGCACCCAAGCAACAATTTTTCCGTCCCCGATGATGTTTTGTAGTTTAGTATTTAGCTTGGCGTGACAAACGCAATCAGACGTTTTTGAAAAGCCAAGTAAGATTATGTATGTTTGGCTGTGATTGTTAATACCTAGCGCAAGATTGTGTGTGACGTCAGTCAGCTACGTCGTGGTCGATAAACCTTTACGAAATGCATGCTGGTTGGGGGACGGGACGCCCTCATTTTCGATAAGGTCCCTAGATGAAACAAGTTTCCAAGGTAGCGACACCCTCCCTTTTCCTCCTCGCTTATTTGCCTGAAGCGCCCCTAGAAGGTTCAAAACTTTCATCCAAAAGCGAATGTTTGGGTTCTGTTGCTACAGTGAATAGATGTAAATGAAACAAAATGGAACGAAATACGACGTAGAATAAACAGTTACCTTTATGAACATAAACGGCACAACACAACAGCAAGCGGGATGTGCGTTACTCAACCGGCAACGTTGTGCAGTTCTATACTTTACACCACTAGCCATGGCGTCTCGCGTAGTACATTTTAGTTCCACGGCCGCGGTATATCGTCCAGTTCTAACTAGTCCACTTCTCCAATTGTGTTTTGTTCGTGCTGTGACACAGTGAACGTGCTTCTTGCTGGATCCTGTAAGTGGCCACAGGGCGTGACGTTGTGACGATTGATTACAACCGGCTTGTGCACACGCGAGAAATAAAAACTACGACCAGACTGGTACGAACACTCGTCCAGCAGCACTGCGATGACGTTTTTTTTTTAAATGTGCCCATTTGGACAATCGTGATGCCAAGTGATTCTGATGCGGTGCTGGGAACTTCCTGAAAAGTGAGAGTTCTGCTGGTGAGGTGTCTCGAAGCAGCGCGTTTCGGCTCAAGCGAGAACTGGTCAAGAGTGAAATGTTTCTGAAGGTGCGTTGATTACAACCTACAGCTGCTCTGTATACGTGCATACCCACATGTATTTGTACCAACTGGCATGCACTAGGCACGCATTAGACGCGCGCCTGGCGTTTCAATAAAAATCGACAAGTGAACTTGCTTCGCAGATCCGCGTCGACATACGTTGACGAAGTTGCACGAAAGCATTCGCGTAAAATGGTTCATAGTTGCACTTCATGGTGCGCTTCATCTCGGAAAGCATGAGGTAAGTTGAAGAGAGCGAAACCATTTTCTGTTGTTTACGGCAACGCAGCATTGCTGAAAAACGCAGATGTTGTATTGAACGAGCATGGCGAAACAATCTTGGTCGACTTAGCGCACACCGAAACGCTCCTCCTCTTCAGTTTATGTTCTGGCTACGATTTTGTCTTTGGTCATGACGAGAATCCGGCTGGAGCCATATGCGCATGCGTACTCGTTTTGAACCTTTTGCATAATAATAAATAACACCACCAGCCATTTGAAAGATCACGTGCAAGTAATGCACCAATTACAGACGCGGATGGCAGAGAAAAAGAGGATTGATTGATTGATTTGTGGGGTTTAACGTCCCAAAACCACTATATGATTATGAGAGACGCCGTAGTGGAGGGCTCCGGAAATTTTGACCACCTGGGGTTCTTTAACGTGCGCCCAAATCTGAGCACACGGGCCTACAACATTTCCGCCTCCATCGGAAATGCAGCCGCCGCAGCCGGGAATCGAACCCACGACCTGCGGGTCAGCAGCCGAGTACCTTAGCCACTAGACCACCGCGGCGGGGCGAAAAAGAGGAGTAATCGAGAAAGTGAGGAGGACGGCTCGAGAACAATGAGTGACGCTACCTTGTTTCATCTAGGGACCTTAATTTTCGAAAAAAAAAGTTAAATGTTTTAAGACTATATGCTCGAGTAGTTTGCATACCATGCTTGTTAAAAATATCGGTCTGAAATTGGATTCAATGCATGTATCTCCCGATTTATAAATTGAATAATTTTAGCTATTTTCCAATCTTCTGGTAGTCTTGATGTTGAAAGTGATTTACGGAAAATACTGCCGAGATATCTGCTACACCATTCTGCATACCTTTCCAGAAAGTGGTTAGGTATATTATCCGGACCACACGCTTTCTTAGTATCTACAGTAAGCGGAAGATTAGGAACACCAGTGTCTGTGATAACGAAAGCGTCCATCACAGACACCGCGCGTAGAACTGATTCTGGCATGACGCCATTATCCCTCGTAAAAACTGAAGGAAAGACCTGGTTATATCTGTTGGCTTTATTTATTAAATGTTTCAAGCGACAATAGTTGACGGTGAGCGTGTTCTTTCGGCAAAAGTGGTACCGAAATCTTCGTGGATTACTTTTAAGAAAGCTTGGAGTACAGTATTGAAATAGTGTTGTTTGGCTTCCTTGAATTTTCGTTTAAAGTTTCACACAAACTATCACATAAACTGTGACACATTGGTACGTAAACATAACGGTACTTAAAGCAGAGTTACCATGCGCGACCATGTGCTTAAATTTAAGAACGATTTAAAGAGCCCGGGCATTGAAAATTTATGCAGGTTGCATGCCTTAGGTATAGTGTCTTTAACTTCACTAAAATTTCATCTTTTTTACATTGTCTTCAGCATTTATGCGGCATTGTTAGTAACCGACGAAAAGCAAAGGTCATTTTGTCTGGAAAAAAAAACGTGCTTTTCCTATTAACCAGGCCTTTGTTGTAGAACTGTCATGAACGTAATCTATTGATTAAAGCTTTGTGCTGAACCTTTATATAAGATTTTCTCTGGTGCAAGAACATGTGCGTACACGTGGTAAACGTAGTGTTGTGCAAGCGCCGTCAGCCAAAAAAGATTACCTGACTAAACTTATCGACTGTCCCACGCTTCATGGTGATCAGAATAAGAGAAAAAAAATCATATGCGTATAAGGTGCGAACGGTGGTACTGAACTAAGTGCACAGATATGCGAGCTTTCTACGATCTTGCTCTCTTTTTTGTAGTATGCAGACGAAAAAGATGTAAATAAGTAGTTCAGTCATGCTGCCGCAGTTCGTAGCAGGCGGAACACAAGCTAACCACGCATAAACAACACAGCAAAGGCGTGATTTAGTGTGAAAGCGTGAAGAGAGTCACGCAGTGCAAGAATTCCTATGAAAGGCTAAATGCGCTTTACCCGTGGGTAATGTTAAGGTTGAAAAGGCGTCGTGCATCAATTCAGTAGAGAATAGCGCAGATAATAACACTAAACTGTAGTCAAAGTATTTTATACGCCGATAATCAACTCGACGGCACGCAACGAAGCGCCGCTGCGTGTTTTTTATACGCGCCGCAGACTGCTGATCCCCACTTTCTCGGGGACGGTGCTGCCACCTATTCGCAATGCCCACGGCCTATAGGTGGCACACCGTGCAATCAAAGATGGCTGCGGAAGGAAGATCAACCCTTGAACTCGCATAGGAAAAGATAGGACGCACGGACGTACTCCCCGCGCCGCTTTCACCGGATGAGCTCTTGATCGTTAAATGAATGTATATCGAACCGAAGTACTTTCCCCACCAGTAGGAACTGCTGAATGTTCGCTACCTCACTTCTCGCCGCAGTGCAAAGGGTGACGGTGTCAGCTGATCGAACGTGTATCCACGATGCTTTGCGTAATCCTGTGCGTGCTACAGAAAACTGCCTGAACCACAATTCACGTATGAACACACTCACGTATGGCACTCCGAGATCATTCGGGCCGAGCCTGTCTGGTGGATTCGCCGCAGTAGTAGGCCGCTAGCGAATAGTGTTTAACGTAGCGATAGTTTACAAATATATTACGCCATCGCTACCAGCACTGTAAGCATGATGTAGCTGCTTCTTCAACGAAACGCAAGTATTCAACTTCCCATTGAGTAGCACTTCTGTCACAGCCATGATCAGACTTTGATAGTGCGCAATTGCCTGCACCTAGATGTTGCAGGTTTCATCAGTGCGATCGAAACAAGGATATCGAAACGAATACACGCGTACGCTTTCGCAACGTCGAAATTGCGAAAATTGGTCGAACAACAACGTCGTTCGGACGGCACCAGCGAAGTGCAGGAGAAGTTAACGTGGACTGTAGTAACTGCATACTTCAGTGCTCTAACCATTTCGCTTCGCTGGTCGAGCTCGAGCGTGTTGGTGGCATGCGGCGCTTTTTAATATCCACTGTAACTGGGATACATTCGATGCACAAGAAAAAGTATGCTTTTATTTTGAGCTCGCTGAAGGATATTATACAATAAATACAATCACAGTGACTTACGAGCGTGAAAAACATTAATGCTTGACGGGACGTGAAGTACAACTCTCTGCTCGTGAGCCAGCAGCTGATTGTTCATCTTCGCTGTCACTCTCAGCGCGTTGACAACCACGTACGACCAGTGAAAAATCCTTGATGTCAAGGCGGTTTTTTTTTCAACATCACTGCTGAAAGTAATCTGAGGAATTCTTTCCGCCAAACGACTTCGATAGCACCAACTACGCGTCATTCGCCACGCACAACACTCCCACGGCGTCACTGACCACGTTTATCTGGGGATGCGGAGAGTTCATTTCGCTCCCAGAACCGGCCAGTAAGGAATCGCTTGCAGTGGGCTGGTATCTATCAACGAATGTAAAAAAAAACAAATACAAACGCTGCAGCGTAGGCCAAAGTTTGGAAGCGCAAATCGCGTGCCTGCGCTACTTTCCGCGTACATTGAATGTTATGGGGTTCATGCACTACAAAAGCATTGACGAAAGCTATACACACGTAAAACAAGGCACGTTTTAACTGAAATGGTTATGTGTTAACATTTACCTATCAAAAGTGACTGCAGAAAATATAGCGAAGCTGATATGTAAACTTTGCGGGCGATAATCGAAAGCACGTGTTGCCACGTATTGTCACGAAAACTTCGCGTCTCGCAAGAACGAATCAGGTTTATCGTGCCACGGACGGTCCGGTATATTCACCGACACACGAAACATACGAAGTGGGTTGTGTTCGTTTCTTGCTAACACGTTAACACTGAGGCTAGCACCGCCCAGCAAGGCAGTATTGGGAGGGTCACATACTAATCATCCATGAGAGGACACTCCTGAATTCCGCTAGGCGGCGCGACAGTCTATGAAAATTGCGAATAGCCCGATCTCGCAGTGAAAAGAGTGCTCGTGCTTTGCTAGCGTGGCGTCGCTGCACCTGGCGTGCTTGCGCGTCAACGTTATGTCGGAGTATATTGGGCTCTTCATAATGCACTCGGCACCATTTCGTTAGCTTCACATATACCAAATTTGGTATTACGGGACGTGAATGGACGACTAAGATATGCAACTGGTGCAAACATGATAATCATGAGACGCTTGTCGTGTAACAAAATGACCACATGGCACGCTCATGATGCTCTCGCGGTTGATTTGCTGGCTTCACAAATACCAATTTTGGTGTTACTTGATGTCAATGAATGACGAAGATACAAGTCTAGTGCAAACATGATAATCACAACATGCATGACAACATACCACGCTCGTGATGCGCGCTCGCGACCGTTTTGCTAGCTTCACATATACCAAATTCGTGATTCGACGACGAATCTAAATGACTAGTCCAAATACAATAATCATCTTATGCTTGTCATGTAAAACATGAATACATGCTACGCTCATAGCAAGCTCGCGGCTGTTTTGCTAGCTCAACATATACCAAATTTCGTATTACGTGACATGAGTAGACGACGAAGGTAAATGACACGTCCAAACATGATAATCATGGCATTCGTGTTATGTAAAACTTGACTACATACTACGCTCATAACACGCTCGTGGCCGTTTCACCAACTTCACATGTACCAAATTTGGTATCAGGTGACGGGAATAACTGACGAAGGTAAACTTAACGTCTAAACATAATAACCGTGGCATGAAAGTCATGTACAGTATAATTTATCAACGCTTCATAACGTTGTGCTCATTTTAAATTTACATACTAATCTTCCTCATTCGTGCTTCGCATAGCAACGATTCTCTCTATACGTGGTATCTGCCAATTTTTTTATCCCTCACCTCTACACCTTACCAGGCAACTGTAAGTTCAATAGATCACCTAACTGGACTAATATTTAGTTCTTGCATTTACATCTAATCGAACAACTGTTAGTCCCCGCAGCTGCACCTCACAGTACGAAATGCGAGTCCATACAAATGTTTCATTCATACGAGTGTTTTTTTATCTCAAGTTTTTCGTTAATCCTTAGGGATGATTTTTGTAGTTAGTCTCCGCAAAGCTATATACCTCTTCGCGGGGCTTTTCTTCCGTAGTCAGCAACAAATGCCCCTGAAAAGAACATACAAAAAATATGCAATCAGGCGCGTGTGTCCCAGCTTTCGAAGTCCATGCGACGAAGAAAGAAAAGCGAGACACTGAAACTCACTTTTTTCACAGCAGTTTCTTTCTTTCAACAAATTCACTGTTAAATAGGGGTTCAGCCACGTTGACCCATCTTGTGTAGTTCCTTTTTTCATCTGAAGCTGCTTCAAATGGAGTGGTATATGACTGGCACTGCATGATTCAGTGCACACGGCATTTTGCGCTGCGCACAACGGCTCCGTTCTGGAAATCACAAACATATTGTAAATAGTTAGTCAACTATGAAAGGTGAGAAAGACGCACGCACATGGCAAATACGAGCAACGTGAAGGGGAAACACACGTCTAAATCACGGCAGGTAAATAATTTCATCGTTATGTCATACATCATCAAAGGCGCACTTCGACCCTCATAACATGAACGCTCAAGTAAGGAAGCAGCTGTCATCATGCCGAGGCGCCGCCAACGAGTCGGCGAGGTTTCTGTGAGTGACGTAGTACAACTCGAGCAGGCCCGTCAGCCATTCCTGGCGACAGCGAACCTCGAGCAGAAGAGCGAACGAACGCGGGGCCGCTGCCACGAACGCGCCAAGCTCTTTGCGAGTGAGTGACGAAAAAGCCGACAGTAATTGTGGCCAATTTTCCCAGAGTTCTGAACCACAGCTATACGGCAACTTAAAGCCCCCACCAGCCCATGCTGGTGCACTTCAAGCGCATGACATAAAAGTGTGTCTGTGGTGGGCCACAGCAATGCGTTCTGGACGAGCCGCAGCGTAGCACAGTCCTCTTCCCAATATCATGAGCCCAAAGCTGTTCATCGTGGCCAACACACAGAAAACGAGCGTCTGAGCGGCCGATGGCCATGACGGCAAATTTTTAGGGGGTCACAAAGCACAGGTTAGCTGACGCCTATGCCAGCCTTCACGGTTCATTTCGTGCGTGCTATATATACAACGTGATCGAAGCCGTTCTCGGCAAGCGCGACGTGTTTCTCGCACGTGGCAGTTGCGGCAAAATTAAGACTGAACACTTACTTGTGGATTGAGCGCCGATTTCTTTCCGTAGTCGCATGGAAACTATGCATCAGGCAGGGCAACTGTCTTATCGGCCATTATTCCCAGCAGGTGGTAAAGCAGTCCCCGGGACAAGGCCAATGATACACAGCATGACGTCCCGACGTGTTGACACCAGCTCAACCCAACATGGGTGCACGAAACGAGAAAGTAGCGTCACAATGTATTCGATTCATACGTGTATTTAGATAAAAGGCACCGCAGCGTAGTTCTTATATCGTCTAACTCTCAGAGCACACCACAACTATCAACACACCGTCGTGAGCACAAGTGGATAGACTGACCTAAATGCGAGGGGGATGGTTAGTTTCCTTGACAATGGTTTACAGATAAAACACATCTCTGCACACGGTTTCCATTTATCGCCCAGTTTATTCCTTCACATACAAACTGGTCTGCATATGTCACGCAGTCCTCAGTGGTTACTTCTTCAACGGCCAATGCGTTCATCGCTCGCGCAAAATTGGGATCCATTACGCCGCTCTCGCGTAATTTAGCCTGAGTGTGTTTACAAGTTTCCTTTGCCAGTCTTGACAGTCCATTCGCTTTTCTCAACTGAGTTGTTGGGTGCGCACAAAGGTGTCCATGTATTCAAAGGTGACGAAAGTGGCTATTCGTAGCTCTCGAGGTACACCATAAAGCACCCAAAAAAGAGCTCGATAAAAGCGCTCTACAGTGATCGTTCCAGAGCTGCTAAAGCCCAAAAATGGTCTCCCGGGCCAGACTGATAAGCACACGACTACGTGTGTATCGGGTGGTCGTATTGCAGGATCAGTAGTAATGATACAGGTATAGAGACCAGAGTCGGACGAGAAGGTGGCGTGCGTCATGAGGCAGCCGGGATAATTGATGAGGCCCATGAAACGCCTGTGAAGAGTCATGTCTTCCGACCAAGCTGAGGTGCCGTCACGGCGGTACAGTAGCCACGAATTGCCTTGGGCATTTTGCGGAATCAACCAGGCGTACAGGCAGGCTAATTTCTGCAGGAACTCGCCCTCCCTGTTGATATTGCAGCGATAAATAGACTCGCAGATGGCAGTAGCCAACTGTTCTGGTGCGGTGCATTCTAGCCGAGGAAGCCACGGAAGGTCAAAATCATTGAGAGAACGTAGTTGTGTCACTGAAAGTCCACACAGAAGTTGATGCAACGCCCTTGATTCGGTGTTGGCCATCGCAAAGCCTGCCAAGACACACAGTCGAAAGAACACTGCATGGATGCTGATCGGTTGACCGGTGCTTAGTAAACGCTGCTTAGCGTCAATGGCAGAGCTGCTGCTCGTCTGGAAGAAATAAGCATACTCGCTTGAGGCATTGATACATCCTCCCAGAGGCTGCTTTGGCCACCGGTGCAGGTAAAAAGTAAATGCATCCAAGCAACCGAGTCAGCCCAATTTCTTCGCTGCACCGTTGCAAGTTCAAGCTGCCTTCCGTTAAAAAGACCATCTGCTTATTAGTAAAGCACATACAAGATACGGCGCCTTTATGCCGACAACCAAAGCATTTCTTTACGATTAAAGCAGGCTTATCAATCGGTTGATGCTATATTCTTCAGAAGAAAACAGTAAAATGAGCTCGACGGAAAAATATGACACAGAAAAAACATTGCATGCGCGAATTCATGCCGTTTGCTTCTGGTTGTTCCTTCCCAGGGAACGCTTTGGTTCAGTGAAGCTGCGACAGAATATTCCTGAAAGTAACACCACATGATGAATACATACCTAGCAGATAATAATGCATGGCTGATCATAATCCATACCCTCGCTGATATTTACAGCGCAAAATTCGGCAGCTGCCACGCACCTTGATAATCGACGGTTTGTGAAGCATGCGGAGGCATGTGACTGTGTTGTATTTAGCTAAATAATAGGAAACACGCCCAATATATGTACAACTGTACGCACAGACAAGTGTTGTAGTATACGTTTTAGTTGCATATGTTTTATGCAACAAGATGTTTACACTGGCGTAGTGATGAAAACAGCAACATGACTGTTAACAACGTCAGAAGCTCTAAGCTGACTTTTAACGCTTGTGCTCGCGATGATACTGGTCCTGGACAATGCTTTAAACCAACTTTAGTGAATGGCGATTGCCTAAAATTCACGTCAGCTTGTCGACAACGTTATATTATAGGGGTACATATGTATCGGTTATAAAATTTGATTGTCCTGCTGACCCGCAGGTCACGGGAACAAACCCTGGCTTTGGCGGCTTGATTTTCGATGGAGGTGAAGATGCCGTAGGCCCGTGTGCTCAGATTTTGGTGCACGTTAAAGAACCCATGGTGGTTGTAATTTCTGCAGCCCTCCATTGCGGCGTTTCTCATAATTATATGGCAGTTTGGGACGTGAAACCCCACATATAAATCATCAAATAAAATTGCATAGTCAGAACTGCAACCGAAGTTATTGTGTCCCCGACACTACGCCTGATTGTGTCTTTTTCCAAAGCACTATTTAGACCTGGCATAGCTCTTTGGTATAATGCTTTATTGCCACAAAAATTTTTGAGTTCAATTCCTCCTGGGACCCTGATATTCCCTTTTTGCATTCTTCGGGTCTTCACTGCCGATTTAAGATTTTATCTGAACGCTTTCGCCTTAAAATTATTAACGTCTGTTGTCGCAGTTCCTGAGTCATAAACTGTCGAAGCATCTGCAGCACAATCTTGCACCGTTTTTAACCACTAACCCACTCCAACTTGCCCAACTATCAGTGGTACTATACGGGTATGTGCCACACTTGTCTGGTGGAGATGGTTTGATGACGTACGCGACGGGATCATTGCGCATGTCATGTCATGACCAGCGAATCGTATTCGTCAAAACATCTTTAAAACTGGCTCACCTCAAGCTGCATAGGTGATAACGAGAGTAGTCCGATGTAGTTGGCTAGATAGATAGATACGTAGATAGACACTGAAAATTCTGGCAGTTCGCAAAAAAATGCTTCTACTTTGAAAAAAAAAAACTTACCACAGCGAATAGAAAGGACGAATAAAAGCACGGCTTGTTTACGGCCGTTTTTTTTCTAGCATACCTTTATAAAGAATATTTTTTCTTGTGAAGCAAGAACCCACCACGGCGGTCTAGCGGCGTAGCTACTCGGCTGCTGACCCACAGGTCGTGGGATCGAATCCCGGCTGCGGTGACTGCATTTTCGATGGAGGCTAAAGTGCTGTAGGCCCCTGTTCCCAGATTCGGGTGCGCGTTGAAGAACCCCAGGAGGTAGAACTTTCCAGAACGCTCCACTAAGGCGACGTGGTGGTTTTGGGACGTTAAACCCCACATGCCATTGAGTATTTGGAGCGCGTATTTCATGTGCACTGATGCAGATTCAGTCTGCTGCAGTGCGTAAGCTGAACAAATAATTTACAAGCGCCTTTAACTGGCGTCCACAGCCAGCTTTTTCAAAGCGGGCAATTCCTTATCTAATGAGAAGGAAAACGAAAGACGGCAATCCGACTGATGGGCCAGGGGATATCTATCTGATTAGATACCATTCCATATATTTTTATTCTAGCTCAAAAGAATATGAAGATTACGAGACTACGGCCGTGCTTCGCGACGAGCTGAAGCATGGCCGCAACTGTAGCAGACGACAGACAAGCGCCGTCCACTGCGCTCACTGGTCCTGGGCGAAAATAGTTGCCACTGCCGGCCGGCAGTGGCGCCGAGCAGACAGCACACGCTCTGGTGTTCCCTTTAACAGTGGATCCCTCTGTACACACAGTTTACTGACACTAACCTTATAGATGAGTTATACTATCACATTGAGCCTAATTTTTAACGCAATTAACCTTAAATATTGTTTCGTGGTGCTATAATGGTACCTTGAAAAGGAAATATTGTTTCGTGGTGCTATAATGGTACCTTGCGCCCGTGTTGTTAGCCTCTTTTCCTTGCGTCCGTGTACGTGTTTGCGCAAAGTAGTCATGAATCTTCACTAGATACACGTGTCTTAGTTCTTTTCTTCTTCTTGCGAACGTATGGTACATCATCTCATCACGAGAGGGAGCTACAAATGCCTCACAGCAGTCGCACCCTGAAAAAAAAATAGACAGGCCACCGCACTTTTTTTTACCGCACAATTAAAATATGGTGTGCGCCATCTTGCACCCGCGACATTACAGTACTTAATCTAAGAGTGCTTTTAGACATATCTAAGCGCATTGCCACAGTAGCAATTCAAATGAGAAGAAAAATGCCAGTTATTTCGAGAGCTCCCATAGGCGCTGTGTGTTTATGTTTAATGATTCGTCGAACTCGCAGTACTGGGACCAGTATAACGCGACTCTGATAAATGAAAGCTTCCTACACGAGCTACATATAAGTGAGAATGATTATAGAAAATCTGTAAGGGAGAGAAGATATTAATGTTTTGTTCTCCATCTCCATACAGTTACGAGAAGCGCTACCGCAAACAGGTGAGAGGCGGCGCGACTTGCACATGAGCCGGAATCCAGGGGACGTCAGCGTTATGCGTTTCACAGCTTAGATATTCTGCTTAGATTAAATACGTGAAGTTGCGCAAACACATTATATATTTTGAACATCATGCATGTAATGCCTTCTGTAACATCAGCTTTAATAATGCTTTGTTCGATTGCCTCCGGACGAAACACTACTTCGTAGATGCTAATGTACATTTTTTTAAATATCGCCGAACCAGGATAAGTTTACAATAAAACAGTGCCTAAACTCGTAAATAATAACTGGTAATATGTCTTCGTTCCAAATGTACCGCCAACAGAGATGCCACTTGCCACCACTGCTAGCTGACGAATATTGGAATCAATATTCCAAAATTGAGACACCATTAAGATTATGAACTCGACCCTTCTAAAACAGAAAAGTCACAACATTACCTTTTCCTCCTTGCACCCAATTCTTGGCGTCACCCTACGCCAGTGCTAAATCACTTATTAAAATGCCGTGAAAAAGGTTAACAAAGTGGTGTTCGTCGACGCTACTTTATTCATGAATAAGAAGGCATACACCACTGAAGTCATACAGATGAAGAGCACGATACGCGATTAGGATTCAGCTGAAACCAAAGATCCAGGAGCACTAGTGGAGATAGCCATGCATTTAGCCATACGTAATACAAAGTTTACGCACTTCGACAGTGATTCCCGTGCAGAAAACAGGGCCTGCTCCACAAAATTTCTATTCGAAAAAGCATGAAGGCTAATCAACAACGTATAGATACCAACTCTGTAGAGATCAAATGGTCTCCAACATATACC